TTTGATACCCAGTAGTTAATGCCACTTTATTAGAAGCCCATACAATTCTTCACATGGGCGTCAAAATAATTTCAGGGGAAATGATGTTGTGTGGACTCATCGGGCTGGAGTATTTTGTCTTGTGATTACAGATGGGTTTTTGTCTGTGCTGCTCTGCTTTCTTCCAGGCCTTTTGCTGGACAAGCTAGAATTAACAATCTCCATTAATTTACTTTGGCACTTCACACGGTGAGACAGGCCATGAACATGATGTTTTCTAATAAATTTTTTTAGAAATCCTGCAATGCTCCTTTTTAATTGATGTCCTTCATAAATTGTATTTGCCGAAGCTGTAATTATTCATCAAGCAGCCAAAGCAAATCTACCTCCAGGTACAATGAAGATGTTCTTTTGTGAAATTATTAAGATACAGAAGTTCGACAGGCAGAGTAATTTAGTTCTGCTTTATAATTATATCTTTGGGGATTATATCTTTGGGGATCACATCTGTTAGAGCCTATCAGAGTGGAAAGGACCGATCATCCCCAGTGTACTTCATAAATGCCCCTCCCTTGTAGTGACCATTTCCCCCAGTATATAAGCCCTTGGAAACCGTTGGAATTGGACTCTTTCTTTCACAATGTTTTTATACGGTCTTTGCCATAGGTAACTCCCTATTTCACCCGATGTTCATTTAGTTTATTTGAAATATTTTGTTTTGACTCCTGAAATCACATTATAAAACCTTATATTGGTTGAGTTAGGGATCTTCCAAGGAATATCCCTGAACAGCTACTATCTAGAAAGTTTGGAAATCAGCCAATTAAGATGACCTGGAATGCATAATTTTTAGAAATTCTTACTCAGGTGATTCACTAAATGTGTGAAGTTTACCGTGGTACAAAATGAGGATATTAGCTTTGGTAAGGATTCAGGGAAGATAAAAGAGTATTGTCAATAAAGGCTTTGGAACAAGGTTTCGCAGAGTGTTCCCACAGACTGTTGTGGGGGAATGCAAAAGCAGCATCCCATGGCAAATTTGGGGAGAGGGGGAGGGTTTGCCATCTCCCACTTAAAGAAAAATATAAGCTTCATCCAGATAGGAACTTTGTCACCTTTCTCACCATTTTGTGGCCAGTGCCTTGCACACAGGAGGTGCATAAGTAAATGTTTGTTGAATGAATGAGCTGCAGGACTTCTCGGAACATTGAACCTGGTGTGGTGGGCACTGTGGCTCATCAAAGAAGGAGAGTGGTCTGCAGCCTTTCTCAAACTTAAGAGCCTTGGAACTCTTCCCTTGAGGAGCATTTTCCCAGAATGAGGTGCCTGGAAGTACCTCCCGGGAAATTCTAGCCCTGAATAAAACTGATGAAAATGGAGTCTTAACCTTGAATTGATCATTGAGTGAAATAGTCAAGGTTTTGTGGCCCTTGGAACATAAGTGATACATACTGTGAGGCAAGAGGGATGCCAGACTCCCATGCTTACATCTATGATTTTGGCCATTGACCTTTAAAAGAAGCCTCAGTCTGTTTATCTATTAAATAGGGATAATAATGACTTTTTTTCCTAACTTGTTCTGGGGTAAATAAATTGCATTTAGTCACACTTGGGAAAGTTAAAGGAAGTAATGTATGTAGAGGGTTTCTCATGATAATTATTATTATTGCTATCATTATTGTCTCAATATCATCGTAAAAAAATGATGAAATTGCTCCAGTCAAGATGTGTGATTATGAGACACTGAAGTTAAAAAAAAAAATGTGACCAATCTTTCTAAACAGCCTTCCAACAAACATTGGAAGGTTTATAATATGCTGAGTTTTGTTGTTGATTTTTGGGGAGACAGTAGTGAATGCAGTGAAGGCCCCTTCCCTCATGGACCTAGGGATTTTTTGTAATATATTGTGTTTACCAATGTCGCTGTCTCTTAGAACATAAAGTAAATTTAATTGTACACAATTCAGTTAAAGTTAATTGTTCCGAGGTCATTATATTAGAGATCTGCCCCAAAGGATCACTTTTTCTCTCAGAATCAGATCTGTTCATACACAAAATGAGTAGAGGAGGATTCATAGGTCACATTTTAAAATAAAACAAATTAAATTAAGCTAGTGTTACCAGATAAGGTAAATCAGATGGAAAGTGGCATCCCTTTCACCCTGATCAATTTAACCACACTGTAGAATGGCCAAATTTAGCAAGTAAAAATACAGAGTGGTCTGTTATAGTTGAAGTGCAGATAGAGAACACTTTTTTTTTTTTAGTAGAAGTATATCCCAAATAGTGCATGGGACATACTTACACTTGAAGTTCTTTATTTGAAAACCAAATTTAACTGGGTACCCTCTGTCTGTTAAGCTACCCTACCACGCTGAACCAGGGGCCCAGCCACCTGTGCAAGAGAGAGAGCGGCCGTTCATTCCCCACCTAAGTCAATACTTGCGGCATCTTTGTAGGGGAGGTTTTTTTTTTTTTTTTTTTTTAACCCCACACTGAAAAGAAAACCTTCGCTTCTATTTGAAATGATTTATAACTGTTCCCGCCTGATCGCCAAGGGTTTCCAAATTAAAAGCCATTAATTAAGGCCTTATATAGATACAAAAGATATGCAAGTAGTGCTTTGTAATTCCAGCCCCGTACTTCAGGTGAGAGCTTTTCAAATTACGTGGACCACTGGAGCCACCTGCTTGACTAAACGGAACGCGGCGGGCCTGTGGCTCATCAGCACACCGCGGTGCCAGCGTTGTTACTGATTTTTCTCATTTCTCCAGGGCAAATACTAATTAATGGATACAATTCACAGCTGATTAGCTGTAGTTTCTTCAGTAATTACATTCGCAGACTAACTGTTCAGAAGAGGATTTCTAACCCAGTTCTTACTTCACTCTAAGCTTAATTTGTTTTTTGAATTGTTTAGGCCCTTAGTTTAATAGCCATTTTATTTTTCTTTGTTGTTTTAGGTGCTATTAGATAATAAGTGAGTTTAATCTTAAAAAAAAAAATTACTCTCTGATAATGAGCTGCTTTCCTTAAATGGATTTCTAATTCCCCAGCAAAACCTACATTTAAATAACGTTAAAGCTGGGATGCAGGCTGCCGGGCGATCTGGGGAGGCGGGATGGGTCCCTGGAATTTACGTCATGACCCAGGTTCTCAGAAAATACCCAAAAAGAACGTTCGGAAGGGGGGGCCTTGAGATTTTATCTTAGCACCATTAATTCATGGAAAATTCCAAGACAGAAACCTATGCTTTTTCTTGCATATAACTAACATTGTAGAAAAATGGAGGAAAGATGTCGGTGTCTGGGGAGGGGGGCAGCAGTGCACGTGTACCTGCTCCCATATGTACTTTTCTTAATCTTAAAATTATTTTTAAACCCCTGTATTGAAATGCAGTGGACACACAACAAACTGTGCATAGTTCACGTAGACGCCTTTGTGAGTCTGGAGACAAGTATACGTGGGTGAAAGCATCCTCCCATGTTTTTGGAATCACACGCCTTCAGAGAAACCAGATAAAGGTCTTTCTTAAGTGCTAACAAATACATCTTTCAGAAATCCTTATAAAGATGTTTATCCAAATGAATCTGAGGGCTCATTGTGTGAGTATGTATTTAGGGGTCGTTTTCCAGGGTAGGATTTTGCTTCCATAGACCAGAGCGGCATTCCGGAGCCATTAGAGCCTTTCATGTAAATCCCGCTTAGTTCTTGGATCCCTGACATGATAAAGTGTAGCATGTCAATCCCGCGTCTGTGCGCAGATCTTACAGGTTGAGTCAGGGGCTGAGAGCCCCCTAGAATTGCTGAGGGGAGGATTATGTAGGTCTTCCAAGTCTATATTTATTCTCTACATTTACCTGTCCATGTATCTGTATCTCTCTCTCTCTCTTTCTCTCTCTCACTCCTTGGGAAAGTTATGCTTTTACTTTAAGTAATTAACTAGCTCTGTTTACATTAGAGAATGGACATATACATTTCACCCTTTGGAGGCCAAACCTGCGTGTTATTTGATGCACTGAAGGGAGGAAACAATACGCGTTATAAAAAAAAAAAAAAAGAAGGGCATTTTTCCACCATGGAAAGATGATGAAAATAATATAGCAACAAATAATTGTGCTCATGGAGCCTTTCCATATTGCCAGATGGATAACGAAATGTTTAAAGCAACAAAATGTGCCTACTTATACCCTCTGAACCTGAAAATACATTTCTGGCAAAATCCAAGTTTTACATTTTGATAACAGGTCTGTCGCAGTAAAGAGCTTATGTCTGAAATGCTGATACAGTCTTATTTGTGATGGTATGAATAGGCTATTGTGGTAGGGAATTAAATAAAAATTGCTGTGTTCATAGGATCCCGCTTATTTTTTAAACCTCTTTGCACTTAATGTAACATTGAGAGATTAAATATTACTGTTTTCAACAGCTCTGATGGACACAGATATCGTTTTCAACTCTGTTTGGAGATCAAAAAAAAAAAATTCTTTCATCTCATTATTTATTTATATTCATGCCACACCCCATTCACAAGAAAATAGAATTTGAGTCCCGAGAATTGAATTCTATTTCCTTTATTTCACATTTTAACCTCCTCACACTTGTGACATATGTTCCTGAAAAGTACGCTGCGAAATCCCAACATGCTCTAAAAATGTGTCAAGGTGATTTTCTTGGGAACTTTGCCTTCCGCCCTCTGACAAAGGCCGGTTCAGCAAGCCACACCCACTCGTGGCCAGTTGGCCAAATGTTTGTACGTCTCCCTTCGCCGCCAGTCTTGATGAGGAACACCATTTTCTAGAATTTTCAAGTTAGCTTAACTCTGTGCTCTCTTTCCTGAGAGAAGCAGCAGACAGCACGTAGCACAGAGCCTCTGTCCCAGGTCCCATTTGGTCTGAGGAAAACCACTCTTTTATCTTTTGACACTGCCATTCTTGCCAAATCCCATCTGAGTATTAAGGAAACCATCAGGATTCTTTATTTTTCTGCATATTAACGTAAAACAATCTGTTTTCTTTCAGTTCGGGAGTAACAATAATTACATGAACATGGCTGAGGCAAACAGTGCTTTCTTTGCAGCCAGTGAGGTAGGTGTCTGCCTTCATATGTCTGTTCATGTTTTGTGTGTCATTTAGATGGTTTAAAAGGCTTGCAGGGAAAAAGCAAAGTATCGAATTTATCTCTCTTATGTGGTGCAAGGTAACGACTCTGGAGGAGAAACGAGAAAAACCTTTTGGAAAAGAAAATGACCTGACAAGTCTATCACTTGTCCAGAGGCTGTTACCGTTAGTAATTCACACACATCTCTTGATGGAAAGAAATGCTCATGCAAACGAAAGTGAATACATAAGAAAGTACATAAAATCTATCTTCTCAAATTGGTATCTGAGCAAGTGGTGATTTTAAAACTTAGGGTGGAAGTGACTTTCAATAGAAAATATCTCAACTTCACTGAGCTCTGGAGATAATTTCATTAAGATGCCCCGGTTGGGGAAAGGATGTGGCAGGGTAGTATTATGGTTTCTTGGGTCTTCACTTCAGGGGAATGATATGAAGCGAGTGTTTTGTTTTCTCTTTAGAGTCCCCACAGCCTATTACGGTGCCTGGCACTTAGTAGGTGTTCAATGAATATAGATAGAATGAATGAATGAGAGGGTATGTTCCAAGACTTGGCCATGGAGGGAAAAACTGGGTGGCAGACTTGAGAGGCAGCACCACGTGGGCTCTGGGTCTGTCTAGAATGTACTAGAACAAAGGGATCAAACGTCTTCTTGTTGCTGTTTTTACTACATGCCCTGCTTACGTTCCTATGGCTGTTTTCTGGGCTCACTGGCTGGCCCTCCAGAAAAATCTCGATCTTGACGAGATCAAGAAAACAGTTTCCTAAAAAAAAAAAAAAAAAGGCAAACCGTGAGATTTCAGATTTTAAAACAAGAACACACAGGTGAAAGTGGTCCAAATGGGACATTTCCTCCTGGGGTTCCTATAATAAAAAGTCTTCATTTTCCCAAATACATTCTCAAATTTAGGAAACTGAACTAACTTGACCCCAGAGGATGAAAATCATAATGGCTTTGTAAATGATCTCGGTACAGGGAAGCAAGTGGTACGAAAGAAATTAACTTGGAGAAATTAGTAGAAAAAATGAGGAATTAAGAATTAAGGGTATTCGTGGATGAATCGTTTTTTCCAGTGACCATCCTCTCTCTCACCAAGAAGACGGCCCAGATAAGGGATATTGTCTGGCACTGGCTGCTGTGTTGTTTGTGATAATGAACACAAACCCCATCTGTAAGGACAACATGATGTTTCATTCTGTAGGATTTTTTTCCCTACATTTGAATCAAACATTGATGAAAGCTCTACTGCCAGCAGCTGTTCAGAGACAATTTAATTCCAGCTGTGATAATTCACCGTGTCAGACATTGGCTGTTATATGTTGATACAACAGTTCTCGGGATTTGCATTTTTATCAAAAGGAACAAATGTTTTGAACATTTCAGTACAGATGGTATTTAACCATGTACATACTATTTTAACATGTTCAAGGTAAACACTTGAAGAGTCTGTATCTGTGAGAAGGAATCATGTAGGCTCTCGATGATGAACCTGATACCGGTCATACGGCAGGGTTGCAAAAGTCTGTCTTTTTTTGTTGGTGGTGGGACCATATATAGTTATTGTAGCTTCTCAGACATACCCAGTGTTTGCACCTTCTCTTTTCTCTAAGGAATGCTTAACTTTATTGTTCATATATTACCTCTCTTTAAAAGTGTTTCAAGATCTTAGCTTTTTTTTGGTTATTTATGATAATGTCGTTTTATTATATTGTTTTGCTAGGTTATGCTCTAGTAATGGACCCGAGTCTCCCTTAAAATTAATTTTTTTTTAAATTACCCCACAGGGACGTATTACACGTAAGACATCTCTCTGTCCCTTAACAAAAATAAAGACAAAAGCCTCTTTAATTTTGACCGCCTAGCAGAAGACATGCTTTACGTTAGAGTTTAAGACCTAATCTTACGCAATGATTTTGCCGTACATCTTTTCTTGAACAAAAAATAAAGCCCAAGTAAATGTTAATGCACCGCATTATAGCATGTGCCTAATTTCCCAATCATTGCATTAAAAGTAAATTTATTTGGTTTTTTAACATTTTAATGAGTGCAAAGTAATTCAGGCAGACTTTAGGTTTGAATGCTGTAAAGTCGAAATTGTGCCTGAAACCAATTCCCTTCCCATAGATACTGCCCTGTAGATAACACCACGGGGACTCAGATACTCCGAGTTTGAAATTCACACATTTGCTTTATGTTTTCTGTCTGTGTCATGATTACCCTGACCATTTTTAAAGTACTTTAAATATTTATTGAAATAATATTTCAAGTGTTAATTACAGTGGTAATGAAAACAGCCAAATGCCACATATCAAGAATGAGTGTTTATCCGTATTGTTAATGTGATATGTTAGATTTCATTAAGCAGTAATGGGGTAGCAAATGAGTCACAAATTACAGTTGCATCTGTTACTAGACCACATTAGTGCCAAAGTAACGGCAAATGCCAGCTATAGGGCTATGTTCATTAGCCAACCACGTTTGTGGCCAATCTATCCCTTTGTGTTTGAGAACTCGGGGTACCACAGTCAGACATTGATATCTTTTGGGGGGTCAGGATTAGAATAAGTATGTCAAAGAATCTTGTACTCCATCCTAGCTTTCAAATATCTTTTTATGCTCTCACGTTTTGCATATATAGCAAATCTGCTAGGGACCTCAAGATGTTCACTTGTCCCACCGTAGCCTCCCATAGCTTGTGACCTCTTTATTTCTGGGAAGATACAAGTAACAGTGGACAGATCCTAGATGCGGAATGTTTTTTTTTTTTTTTTCCTTGAGTTTGTTTCTATTTTCTCACAAGTGACTATTAAGTTATAGCGTCATTAATAGTTTGAGGAGTGATGGTTTGTAGCTCTTAATTAGTTCTCTAAACCAATTGTCGCAGATTCAGATTACCTTGCATCAGTTAATCTTTCAAAAAAAAAATGCTACTAATAATGGATGATACCTTCATCTGACATCAGATGAAGGTATCATATCTGACCCCTTCACCCCGCCAAAACTAATATCCTGGATATTAGTCTTCCACCCCAACCCCACCAAATCCAAGTTCTAGTTTAAGAAAGGTGGTTAGCTTGATAGAACATGGCAGCCCTGGCTTGCATCCAAATGCCCAGTTTTCAAACACTATCTTTAAGACTCGAAGTAGCAATGAAGAGTGTAGTGTTATTATTTCTTTAGGTCTTGAGAAATCACACTTTTCTGAATAAGTGAGCAACCTCAGTCGATTCAGTACGTCTGTATCAGTGTATTTCTGTGTTCATTCTATAGTCTTTTTTGGTTTGGTTTTGTCTTTTTGTTTGTTTTGTTTTAAGTGGAGCCCAACATGGGGCTTGAACTCAAAATCCCGAGATCAAGACTTGAGCTGAGATCAAGACTCATGATTAACCATCTGTGCCCCCCAGGCACCCCTATAGATAGTCTTTCGAAGTTGAAGACTGCCAGAAGTGTTCTGATGCATACATATTAAAATCATCATGAAAGAAAATAACTCTCCTTATAGTTTAAATAAAAGCCCTGGGACCTTCTAATATATGCTCCGATAATCCTTATATAAAATTTTGTATTATAAACCGTAACAATTTCCATAGAAGCCTTCGCTGCGCTTGGGAGTAGACCAATAAGGAAATTTTAAAAGCACACCCCAAATTTAATATTACATGTTTTATATGTTGTGGCAGAAAGTAAATATGTGTAATGTTCACTTCCGGATTAATGTTGTGTGTGTGCACCACAAAATCGTCAGCATTTTATGAAGCATGTGGATAATGTAAGCGGCTTGAGCTGTTTCGCTAACATATCAATAAAGTGGCAATTTGTTATATAGCCAAGTCTAATGTCGCTGATGCTCTCACTAACAACAAAGACAGATGTTGCTAATTAAGTACGCATTAAAAAACTGTTAATACTGATACTCCATTAAAACCATATGATAATGAGACTTAAATCTTTAATCAGAACGATCAGCAAAACTTTATATATGGAAATCTGTGTTTAAGATGTTTTCATTTGAGAAATAAATATTTGGCCTAGCTATGCAGTGTTATCATGCAAAATCTTTCTTTTTCCCTGTAAGGAGAAATAAGATGTAGGAAGAGAATATGAAGATGTCTCTATTTTGTTTCCTTTTAGCAGACATTCCATACGCCAAGCCTTGGGGATGAGGAGTTTGAGATCCCCCCTATCACGCCTCCTCCAGAGTCAGACCCCGCCCTGGGCATGCCCGATGTTCTTCTACCCTTTCAAGGCCTCAGTGATCCATTGCCTTCCCAGGGAAGTGAGTTCACGCCCCAGTTCCCCCCTCAAAGCCTGGATCTTCCTTCCATTACAATCTCAAGAAATCTCGTGGAACAAGATGGCGTGCTTCATAGCAGTGGGTTGCATATGGTAGGTGCTACCTTTATTGCTTGAAAGTGTTTTTTTAATTGTTTGCACTTCTCATGGTAAAAACCTGAGAATGCACATTCTGAAACGGGCTTCTGCCCATCTGCCGATGGACCTGAGGATTATTCTTCCCGGTGCCATTTAAGCACAGAGGCGAGAGGGTTATGGGTTGATTGACGATCACATGATGGAGGATGACCCAGCAAGATCCTTCTGATATGAAATGATTTTCAACAAGTCTGATCCATTGGTTGGGAAGTAGGCAGTCTTCCCTTGGCTTTGGTCTAACACAGAGATGTACTTGAGTCGAAAGTTTGCCCAGGAGAGATTTTAGAAATGGAGGCCCATACCGGGTACCTAGGCCTTTTGCATTCGTTGGATTATAACATAATGTTTATGCTACATGATTTGCTCCTACCTCAAATGAAATATCAAACTGTGATACAGAGAAAGGGAAAAAGAGTAATTGCTCATAGCCAGCAGAGGAAAACATAGAGTGGGTTATTGTGTGAAATATACCTAATTGTGTTATTTATTGTCATAAACATGGAATAAGGCACTCCAGAGAGCCAAAATCACTAATGCAATAATTTTGGTTCTGTTTTTCTTAGTGTGCAATTATAGTCAGCAATCACCAGAGTAAATCTGCTTAAGTATTTTAAAGTCTTCTGCTGGGATTGGTTTTTTCTTCCATCATACTATATATAATACATTTGTGTCTATCTAGGTGAGGTACTAAGCAGACGTCTTAAAACAAGATTAATAGTTTATAGGGCTTTTTTTTTTTTTTTAACCCTGCTAAAATGAAACAGATGTGTTGGTATAACAAAAAACAAATCCTATTTCTTGTTTACATATTTCTCTGCACATTAGGACCATGCCAGTGACGTTTATTGGTTTCATTGTTAATTCCCCAGATAACAACAGATGATTGCAAAATATATAGTGGATTAGCGGCGCAAAGATTCAGCGTGCTCTCTGAGATATAAGATTACTTTCCCAAATAGGATTGCGGCAACATAATTTTCTTTGCTTGTGATCTTTTGTGTTTGAGCTGAACATCAGAGCTGTTATTTTTACTTTTTTTTGTCAGAAAAGAATGCAGCGAACAGTCGGGAAATGGTCATTAAGTATTCATAAACGTCCCTCACCATCGCAAATAATTGTTTCCTGTGGACTTTCTTAACATTTCTGTCCCTTTGACACTGGAATGGAGGGTTCTGTCCTCTGTTCCTCTACAATCAGCCTTGTAGCGCTGTGCCCAGAAACTCATGAAAATAAAAAGGGTGTTTAGTCACCAGGGGAGTTTATCGGGGTTCGCCATTATTCACAGATGCTCAGCGAGGCTCATTTCAGTTGCAGAAATAGTTAAAAGACCATAGAATGCATGCTAAAATGTGTATTTTATTAAATTGGTAAATATTTATTAATAATATAAGAATCTGCCTTTAAATTAAACATCTGATGAATTACCTTGCCTTAACTGTTATTGCTGCTATAAAAAAGTGTAAAGGAGGCATTTTGACTATGAAATTTCATTTCATGGTCAATTGAATTTACTATATTGGAAAGAACTAAAGATGGAATCATAAAATAATTATGATATTCACATACACTTAAAGAACAATGCTTTCACGGACTGGCCTTGGGAGAGAGGACTCAATTTTTAATGCTTCTTTTGTAATGTATTGCTAATCACTAAAGCAGTTGAATTATTTCATTGATTTTTAAAAGGAGAAGTGCTTTAGCTAAGTGCAGGCTGTTGTCACGGTACGGACATAGACCTCATCACATTTACGGAGTGCCTTTCTGAAGTTTTGCTGAACCTGAGTGATATTTATTTTGGCTTGAAACAAACTAATCTTGTATTGAAAATTCTAGTCGGATTTCACCTTGAAGAAATGTCATGGGATTTTAAATCACAAATGTTGGAAAGAATAAAATGTACTTGGACAGAATTATGATGAATACAATGTGTCGTTGGCTTTGTTCTATGTACTACCTGACATGTTCACCTATAAACTTGAATTCAGAATCGCCAGAGGCATGGTTAAAAATAGGCTATGTCAAGGTTCTTCTAGATCTCCCTCCGGGTACTGAGTTGGCTGGCTTCATCATAATACTCCACAGCAGCTCCTTGGAGATTTGCCTTAGGAAGGTCACCAGAAAAATAATAAATAATACTTTATACATCATGCATTCGGTTTCCCGGTGTGTGCTGGATATTTCAGGATATTTCAGACCTTATCCAAGTAAGAAGTTTTATTATCCAAATGAATGTGGCCGTCTGTTAAGGATTGCTGCGGTGAATTAAGACTATCCCAGAAGGAGAGAAGCCAGCTTGTTCATGCTGTATCCAACCGGCTTCTCTTCAGAGCTTCACGGTTTTCCTTTAGAAAGACTGACAGCTTCGTCACATGACTGATGAGCCGCATTTTTGTTGGCAACAAACACAACGTGTTTATCTTCCTTACCTTTATGCCATTATACGTAAAAACAGACAGCGGGGAACAAAACAGGAGGGATTAAAAAGAGCCCAGTGATTAGCATTCATATTTCAACATATGCAAAGAATGCCCTCGTAGTCGAAAGCAAATTGTTGAAAAATTGAACGTGAATGCGTTTGTGACTTCAGAGAACAACCTTGATTTGCGTGTATGTGTGTGGTGGCGGGGGGGGGGGGGGGTATGTGTATTTTGAAACAGGACGCGGCTGGCCAGTCAAAACCAACAGTATATTCTGGTTAAAAAAACAAAAACAAAAACAAAAAACAACTCTACCTCTAAGCATTACTGTCAGTACAGATGATCATCTGGAAATTATTTTAATCTCCAAAAGATTGCAATTCTAAAAATCTACAACGTGAGCTCCAGAGGGTTTGGTGGTGTTTTTGTTTTGTTTTGTTTTGTTTTGTTTTGTTTTTTAACACCTCTCTATAATCTGCCCAGCCTGCTGAGTAGTACTGACATCAGTAGTACATCAATTTCAGAAAGTGGATTATTTTTACTAGACAGCCATTGTGACATATTGGGTCAGTCATAAATGAAAGATATTCATGCAAGCATGCAATACTTGTAATGAAGTCTCACTCTGACCTTCTGTATGATTGATTCTGTAATTTAGTTTTCTGAGGCAGTGCCTGAAATGAAATGAAATCATGTTGAACAAGTTTTGAATACCCACAGTGCACCAGGAGAAGAAAAATCAGCAGCCCTAGAGGCTTGAGAGAGCAGCTGAACGATTTATCTCTGTGCTATTATAGCCTTTGCCAGCGTTCAACATTTCTTTCTTTCTTTTTTTTTTTTTTTTTTTCTTATTTGGCTTAAGTACTTAATTCTGCAGGTAGCTGTAAATGGGAAAATAAAATGCTGTTCAGATTTAAAATGACAAGACAGGAGTATGTGCAGGGGACTGATAAAATATCTTGAATAGAACTGACCTTTCATGTAGCTGAAAGTTACTGGGGGATTCATCCTCATAATTACCATATAGATTATTTTTATTTCTTTCCTGCAATGAAACATTTCAGAGAGCAGTAGTGCTGATTGAATGAAAATTGAACTTGTTAACATTCTTTTCGGCTTAGCCTGTTGTACATAACAGAAGGTTAGCTTTGATGAATTTCAAAATTCTCTTTGATATCCAAGAAACAGACAGTAAAATAATTGTCTCTAGTCTGATATTTTGTATGCCCCCCAAAAGAGAATTTATAAAACACACTGATAATTCACATACTTTTCCTTCATACATTATATTTCATGTTTAGAGGACTGACATTCTTCTGTTTGATACTGCTTTGGATTTAATTGTGATACCGCATATTTATGGAAAATGCTACTCTCGTTGCTCTGGTCATATCAGACATAGTGTTAGGAAGTTGAAAAGGCAGGAAGTAAGGGAAGTGTATTGAAGTATGGGAGGCTTTGTACCTGTTAAGGAAAAAGAAAAGGAGCGATAAAAGTCTTTTAGAAGATATGCATGCAGAGAAGAAAATTAAAAGCTTTTAAAATATTCATAAGATTCTTAAGTCACACTCTGGACGGATACCACTTATAAGCAGAGAAATGGGGCTACAAGCAGAATAACACATCGAAAACTACCAGGCCTGTTTTCAAAGTTTTTCTCGCAATCGCTATTCTTATGGCTCTGATTTCAAAGTTGAATTATTTTCGATTTTATAAAATGACTTTCATGCCATTTTTATGCCACTTTAAGAAAGAATCTTACATTTAGACAAATAGCAGACTTCCAATTAATACATTGTTTTAGCAATGTTGCTTAATGTGTTACAGATAAAACAGTTATTTCATGGGTCATTAATGTGTTTAACGCGTAGAACGTTCTATTAAAACAAGCCCTTATTATTGTTATGCACATGTTCATCGCCATTGTCAACAGAGTCTGCACAGCTACATGCCACAGGATAATTACCACGTAGCCATTGGAGGGACCGACAGTCTCTCATACAGATTGAATGATTACAGATTGAATGATAACGACGAGTTAGATATGTTTTTGGTCAAGTGATAGTCAAAAAAAGTATTTTTATTCTGAGTCAACAGTAGAAAAGGCACCAATTACCTCAACAGAACATCCACTTTGAGTGGAGTGGGACCTATCCATTTCAAGTCCAAATGTGAGCACATTGAAATGGTATCAACCTTTAGCAGGTATTTGCTGAGACCTACCAAAGTGCCATATATTGTTCTCAATGATTAGAGAGTGATTATTCCTATGTACAAAGTTGCTTTCTCAAATACCAGCATCTCTTCCAGGTCATCCAAAAACTCGCGGAGTCTGATAACTGCTTTAAAGGTTCTTCTCATCCACACTTTTAACTTAGCAGTTACTACACCTTGACCATTGTGTGCCCCAAATACACAGGCCACAGGCATTTTTATGATCTGCCTTTCTTTGTAGAGCAAATAGCCTTGGCCCATGCATAGCTTAAAATAAATGTTCTTTTTTTTTCTTTTTAAAGCTTATTTATTTATTTATTTGAC